GAAAAGGGATCAAGACCAAGCTACTGAAACCCACAGAGACAGCTGACCTGAACAAGGGGGAGCTCATGGACCCCCTGACTGATAGCTGGGAAACCAGCATAGGACCGACCAAGACCCCCTAAAAGTGGGTCTCAGTTAGAAGGCCTGGGCAGTCTAAGGGACCTCTGACAGTGGAACCAGCATGTATCCCTGGTGCATAAAAGGACTTTGGGAGCACATTCTCCATGGAGGGATACTCCCTTAGCCTAGAGGCAGAAGGGAGGGCCTAGGCCCTACTCCAAATGATTTGACAGATTTTGATGATCCCTCCTGGAAATCCTCACCTTTCCTGTGCAGTGGGTGGGGGATGGGATGGGAGAGGGACCTGGGTAGGGGGACCATGGGACAAAGGGAAGGAGGGAGGTAGAACTGGGATGGATATGTAAAATAAGAAAAAACAACACTAATAATAAAAGAATGGAAAAAAGAAAAAGAAGCACAGATGGGAGAGGAGGGAGGGATAAAATGATAGGAAGAAAGAAAATCATCAAGGAATGCCTCAGGTATATTTTTCTTACTATCTTCCAGCCAAGGGTTAATTTAATCACTGTCATAAGTGAATAGCAACAAAGCTAAGCAATGTCTTACTAAATGTGACATAAAATAGATACTGTGCCATTGTTGACTAATTTATCCCCATAAATAGCTAGAAAGAGATGTGCATGGATAAATGTTAAGATTACAGGTATGAAGTCAGATCACTAAGGCTGAAATCACAGTGATAGTGTTTCCTAGGTTTGAAATGCAGCTTTCCAGGTCTTAGTTCTCCATGTGTAATACTTGATAATACTAGCTCCCTCCTCATGACGCATGGTAGGAATTAAATAATAAATTAATCTCTGACAGCTCTTTGCAAAGTTCCTGGTTTGTGAATGTGCACAGTCAGACATGTCACCACTTGGCGCGTGCTTGCTACTGCCATTGCCATTGTTAGCACTTCCAAATTTAAAATTCTTGAGGATAAGAACATGCCCAGGGAACTCTGAATAAACAAGTCATCAGAACCTCAGAACCGTCACAGAATACCCACCTCTACCAAGTCTTCACATACACTAAATTAGAAGAGCAATTCTCGGATGTAAGGCAGGAGCATGTGCAAGCATTTTGTTCTCTGTAAATTGACTGAACAAAGAATTCCTCTAGCAGATTGACTCTGTGTACAGAAATAAATCACTTCAGCAACATCATCAGATAATAAGCCATTTGTTGCATGAAAGAATTGGCTAACTCAGAAAAGATGAAGCGGGGAAGAGACAGAGAACAATTTTAATGACAATCATTTTTAAAGAAATTTAAGCATTCACCTGGGTTCTTTAAAAAAAAAAAAAAAAGTACCCTTTTCTGAATGACAAGTCACTGATACCAACATGAACTACTGCTCCATGCTGGCTCCTATTTTCCATAAATAGAGATGTCCCCATGATGCAGTAGAGTATAGTACAGAGATTCTACCTGTGCCTAGAGTATCCTCCAGCTGCTGTCCTGTTTGAATTCTTTCTGGGTCTTCTGTCACCTCAGCCTTTTGTTATCATTTGTTTATTTAGGTAGTGTTTATGGAATACAGTGTGACTAAGGCTGAGGAAGACACAAATATAACAGGACATTGCCAGCTGCCCTAAAGTAAAATATACAATGTTATATCTCATTTTACATGATAGATGCATCTTCCTCATCCCTGAACCCTCCAATTCCACCTTCTTCTTCCTCTCTCCCTCTCTCTCTGCCCCCCTCTCTCCCTCTCTCTCTCTTTCCCATAAAATCTCAACAACCGTGCATAACATCATACATAATTTTTATCTTTTCACACAGGAAGTTGAGATTTAGTTAAAACACAACTCTCATTTTATATCCCAGAGTTATCCAGTTCATATCATGATTCATAAGCACACATAATAAAACATAATGTAAGTAAATCCCACTCAAAATATTCTACTGATAGGGGCTCAATAGTTAAAAAGTACCATTAGCCTATTTTCCAAAGGCCCATCTTGCATGTTCACAAAGAAATTGAATCACTTTTATCATATTTTCCCTAGGTGCATCTTTTTACCCTTAATTAGGAAAGAAATAGATCACATGACCCACATATGCATGAAATAATTCTGACCTAAACATAGAAAACTACTAAAATTTAGTTATATCTGAGAGGAAAGCCTAGGGAATATGAGAGACAGATAGGGAATTTATTTTTCTTTCATTTATTTATTTATTTATTTATTTATTTTACATATAGATCCCAGTTCCTTCTCCCTCCCTCCCATGCCCCCTGACCACCCATCCACAGAGAGGATGATGCCTTCCAGGAGGGGCCAACAAAATCTGTTATTTGGAGTAGGGACTAGGCCCTCCCTCCTGCCTCTAGGTTAAGGGAGTATCCCTCCATGGAGAATGTGTTTCCAAAGTCCTTTTGTGTACCAGGGATACATCCTGGTTCAACTGCCAGAGGTCCCTTAGACTTCCCAGGCCTTCTAACTGAGACCCATGTTCAGGAGATCTGAGTTGGTCCAATGCTAGTTTCCCAGCTCTCAGTCTGGGGTCCATTAGCTCCTCCTTGTTCAGGTCAGCTGTCTCTTTGGGTTTCTGTAACCTGGTCTTGTCCTCCGATAGGGAAATTTTTATGACTACATAATCTGTAGTGAGATACCCACCCCACCCACACCTGTTGCATGCCCACTGGGGAATGGACACAGGTGTAGACCTGACTGGGGGGGGTCTAGGTCTTTTACTTCCTGGTCAGGTTACAGAGAGCATCTGGGTGGTGTCCATGGAGCAGGAACCCACTGTGGTCATCTGTTTCATGTGTAAGTGAATTCTCCCCTAATAAACATCACTCAACCTAAACTGAGTCCCAGTGAATCTTATTTCCCAATAATCCTTTGATATTTTCTCAGTATAATGAATCTATTGAAACATTTGCTGTTTTTAAAAATGTGGGAGTTTTTTGGTTTGTTTCTCTGTTGCTGTGACAAAACATTGAATACTGCTTTCTGGTGTGTTCCCCCTGGCTTGCTCAAGCACCCTCCTTACACAATTCAGGACTACCTGCACAGGACTGGTATTGCTCACAGTAGTAGACTTTCCTACATAAATTGTTAGTCAAGAATATGACCCACAGATATTCCTATAGAACAAACTGATGGAGACAGTCCCTGTACTGAGGTTCTCTCTCAAAAGCGTGCCAAGTTGACAATTGAAACTAATTTTGAAATGTGCCATGACTGTAATGTCTGTCTTTGAAGCTTAGATGTGTTTCTTGTATGCAGCAGAAGGGTGGATTGGTCTTCGGATCCATTCTGTTAGCCTGTGTCTTTTTATAGGTGACTTAAGACCATTAATGTTGAGGGAAAGTAAGGACCACTGATTAATTCTTGTTTGTTTTAGATTTGGTGGTGGTGGTGGTATTGTGAGTATATTTGTCCCGCTTTTTTCTTTTGGTTTCTGGTGAAGTGGGATTATCTATTGCTATGTCTTTGTGGGTGTAATTAACTTTCTTGGGTTGGAGTTTTCCTTTCAGAACTTTCTGTAGGGCTGGATTTGTACATATGTGTCATGAAAATCTGGCTTTGTGATTAAATATCTTGTTTTCTCTGTCTATAGTGATTGAGAGTTTTACTGGGTATAGTAGCCTGGACTGGCATCTATGGACTCTTGGTACTTGTAGACCATCTATCCAGTATCTTCTGGCCTTGAGAGTTTCCATGGAGAAGTCAGGTGTAATTTTGATAGGTCTGCCTTTATATGTTACCTGGTCTTTTTCCTTTGCTGCCTTTAATATTCTTTCTTTATTCTGTATGTTAGGTGTTTTAATTATTATATGGTGAAGGGACTTTTTTTTTTTTTTTTTTGGCCAGTCTACCAGTCTATTTGGTGTTCAGCGTGCTTCTTGTACATTCATTGGCATATCCTTCTTCAGATTGGGAAAGTTTTATTCAATGATTTTGTTGAATATGTTTTCTGTACCTTTGAGCTAGGTTTCTTCGCCTTCTTCTATGCCTATTATTCTTAGTTATGGCCTTTTTATGGTGTCCCACATTTCCTGGATGTTTTGTGTTAAGGATTTGTTACATTTGAATTTTTCTTTGGTCAATGACTCTATTCCCTCTAGTTTATCTTCAGCACCTGAAATTCTCTCATCCATCTCTTGTATTACATTGGTTATGCTTGCATCTGTAGTCCCTGATCATTTACTCAGTTTTCCTATTTCCAACATTCCCTCAGTTTGTGTTTTCTTTATTGCATGTACATCCCTTGCTTTACAATCTACACGTATCTAACTCCAAAACTGCCATTATCTGCAACTATGTTAAGTATACTTTCTCCAAAGAAACTGTCTCCTTCTTTGCAGAGCTTAACCCTTAGCTATTTCTACCAAGGTCACATTTGTATTCAGATTCTTTCCTAAAGGGCAGAAAATACCATTGTTACAAACAACCATCAGTGCATCAAGTTGAAAGTTCTAGGACTTTTGTGTCCTAGTTATTGGTGGCATGATTTTAAGAAAATACTATAACGTGGTCTGGCCTGCCCCATCAACAGGCAGGGGCCAGTCTCATTGGTCCCGATGCACAGAGCTGTGTCCTCATTGGTGCACTGGCCCTTTTCCGCACTTGCAGCAGCCTCCATTTTGTTGGTAAAAGTAGAAGGAGCTTGGTCAAAGACGGAACTCGGGTCTGTGACTTATTCATGGGTAGTGTTTCATTGGTGCATCATTTCTCCCTGGGAAGGGAGGGAGGTTTGGAGGTCGAGAGGGAGTCTCCGCTGCTGCCTGAACTCAAAGTCACAAGAACTACTCTCAAACTTGTGTGCTGAGGAGACTCAATGTTGGCCTCAGCTCCTAGGCTGAAATCAGCAGATTGGCTCATGAAAACTTACGTATTGAGACAAAGAAAAGGATCTAGCAGAAAGCAACATCTCTTATCCTGGGCTTGGCAGCCTGGAAGAGGACAAGGAGTGGGAATCCTGCAATCCTAAAAGCAGACTGAAAGGTGACAAAGAAGCTGAAGATGGGTGGTGGAAAGAGGTATAACATTCCAGCTCCCCAATCTAGAAATGTTAGTAAGAACCAGCAACAGCACAATAGACAGAAGATCAAGGATCAGAATTCCCAGATGAAGATTGTTCATAAGAAAAAAGAAAGAGGACATGGGTACAATCCATCGGCAGCTGCATGGCAGGCCATGCAGAATGCGGGAAAGAACAAGAGCCTTACTAACAACCCGGATTGGAATGCTAGCTTATCGAATCCAAGCTTGCTTTTTAAGCCTCAAACTAACCAAAACTATGCCGGAGCCAAATTTAGTGACCCACCATCACCAAGTGTTCTCACAAAGCCACTGGGTTCCTATTTCATCGAGCCCTTCAGATAAGGAAACAATGACATTTCAACTTAAACCCCTACTTAAAGTACAGGTTTAAAATCTTAAGTACTATTTTTAAATTTTGTGATGTTCACACAGCCATCAGTTGGTTTGAGTTTAGGGAAGTTTTATATAAAACTACTAATTTACAACTATAAGCAGACATTATATGTACTGTATGCTGTGTCAGGATAATTTAACTAATTCTACTTGGTAGTTTTGCTAACTAAATTGAAGGTTGGATTTGGGGATCAGTAACCAGCATTTTTTTTTTTATTGTCTAATAGTAAACCAAACAAAAAAGATAGTAAGCATTTAGGTAAGATTTACAAAGACTGCAAACAAAGTGCACAGTTGAGTTACATGTTCTAGGGACCCAAACCATAGTATCATGGGCATCTTTGTAAGTAGTTGCATCTGTTTGTGGTAACTTTGTAAAGAGCATTTGGAGCTTATTAGAATCAGATAAAGTAGATGGCCTGGTGGTCATTTCTTAAACACAGTGGATAGGCATTTACCAAATCTTATTCAAAATATTGAATAGCTTTCAAAGAGCATTTTTATTTGATACCATCCTACAAAGCTACCAAGGTGATTTGGCCTCAACTCTACAAAGTTTGCTTTGCAGGAAAGTATATGTGAAAATTAAATACATAGGGAAGGAAAGGGCCATGTAAATACATGTAATCTTGTAACATTAAAAAAAGAAAATATTATAATAATATATATGAGATAAGAATAAATAAAAGACAATGATAATCCAGTTTACATATATAGTTTCATTTTTGTAAGTCCTTAGACTGTTCTCTCAAGATATAATACTTTTTTAATGCAAAATAACTATGGAAATTGGCAGTGTCCACATGTGATTCCATGAGGGTCTATAACTTTACTAGAAGAGAGACCTGAATTTCAAATTATGATTTTATGTTTTCATTGAATGTTCCTGTAGGATATAGTTCCTTGTAAGTGCTACAAAGCTTAGCATGCTTATTAGGAATGCAAATTAAAGTGTGAAGGTTGTTTGATGTATGTTTAAAATATCATAATTTTGGAAAATTTAAGTATACCTGGGAATACTGATTTAATGTCCCTGAATCTCAGAGTGTAACATACCAGAAATAGAAAACACTGATAAACTTTGTGTTTTCACTGTGTGTTTTAATTCTAAATTGTATAGTTGTTTACAGAAGCACGATTTATGTTTTTTTTAAAAGAGGATATAAATATTCTACTCCTTTGTACAAAAATAACATACTTCACAGAATTGTTATGACTACCCATAGAAATATTTGTACGAATATGTAGTGTCTTCTATGTCCATTTATTTTCTAGAAATAGATAGACAAATAGCATGGCAGTAATAATCACATTATTATCCTAATTAACACTATTTCCACAAAGGCCACATGTAAGCTAGTCCTGATCTTCTAACCCCTACAGCTCAGTAGGAAAATTCCAGGTAGATCCTGAAATAAAATAAAAAGTAGCATCTTTATTTGCTTGGTTCTCTATTAACCACTGCCAGTAGCCATCATGACCTATGCTTGAGAATTGACAAGGAAAGTCCCTGTTGCTTTGGGATGACGGTTTCAATGACCTGGAGTTCCAACAAAGGAGTTGCGAGCATACAGGTAGATCCCTGGGTAGAATCACAACATCTGCCAAAGGCACCTAACATAATCACTGAAGGAACCAAAATGGGGTGTTTCTGCCTTGGGATGACTCCTTTTCACTACAAGAACACTGACAATGATAAGGCACACCCTCACCAGCCCAAGAAGGGATTCTGCTAAAGAGAGCACTTTGTTTCATAGGACTCTCTTTCATGATGTGAAAATCAAAAGCAAAGATGGGCTGTGAGTAGGTGGGGGCACAGTGAGAAGGCTCAGGAAAGTGGAGGGAGACCTATAGGGGGTCGCATTACATTCTCTCACTCACTCTCTCTGTCTCTCCCTGTGAGTGTGTGTGTGTGTGTGTGTGAGAGAGAGAGAGAGAGAGAGAGAGAGAGAGAGAGAGGCAGGAGAGTGGTATGTGTATGTGTGTGAGAGAGAATAAATATTTGTTTATTCTCCTTGTTTTTCTCCTATTTCCAGAAGAAAAAAAAATGTTTGTGCACACATACAATGAATATACCTTCCCCAACCCTCTGTTGATTTCTAGTGTCCCTTAGGCTTTATTAAAGTTCACTTGTATTACCACTAATGTGAAAATGAACTCCAATCATAGAAATTTCAAAAAATATACTCATGTTAAATATTTTTGTGAGTTTGGGCTATTCCCAAAGAAGACCTAGAGTCATCTGCTGAGTGCCACAATTATTTTATCATTACCCTTCTGCTCCCAAAGTGCTCTACAAACCTCCATACATATCTCTCCTCTCTAATGCACTGCTCCTTTAAAATCTTAAAACATCCAAGAGGTCAACATACCCAAAACTAAGCATTCTCAACATTTTTCAAGATACTCCTTTCTCAAAAAGTCCATTTAAGTGTTGCCATAGTTCCAGTAGGTTTGTTGTTTCATTTGAACAAGGGATGAATAAGTAAACAAACAAACGAATAATTCAAACACCCTTGACTTTTTCCTCATGTCTCTCTACAGGCACCAGTCAAGAACTTCCTTTCTTCCCTAGACCTGGCTGCCATACAAAAGAAACTACAAAGACACTTCCAGGATCCCCTAGATAGTTCAACAACTGCCACACCCTACTCAGCTCTAATGAACAAGACAGAGCTGTGCTCAAGTTCCATAAGTGACAGGTAGGATTACCTCTTTAGAAGGGATAGTGATAAAAACAAGAGCTACAAACTGGTTAGACAGACTTGGGGAAGGGACCCAAAGAGCAACCATTGGAAATAAGTTCTTAGGTCAACAGTAAGAAAACCACAGTACTCTTTTTTCTTTTCTTTTTTAAAAAATATTTTTTTAATTTTCCCTTTTATGAAAATAGATTCTTTTCTCATACAATATATCCTTATTTCAGTTTCCCTTTCCTGATTCTTCCAATGCCTCCCCACCACACCTCCATCTGGGTCCACTCCTTATTTGTTTCTCACTAGAAAGGAAAGGCTTCTAAGATATAACAACAATAAAACAAAAACTATCACATCAAAGTTGGGCAAGGCAACCCAACAGAAGGAAAAGAGTCCAAGGGAAGTTCCTCAAAAAAAATCAGAGACACACTCATTCACATAGTCAGGAGTCTAATAAAAACACTGGACCGAAAGCTATAATATATACAAAGATGACCTGGTGCAGACCCTCTGTGATTGCTGCCTCAGTCCCTGTGAGTTTCCATGAATCACCTGATTAAGAGGGTCTTCTCCTGGTGTCCTCTATCCCTTCTGGCTCTTACACACTTTCTATCTCCTCTTTCACAGAGTTCCCTGAGCTCTGAGGAGAGGGAATGGAGACCCCATTCTTTAGCCTACATTCATTATGTTCTTTAAGCTACCGGTTTGTTTGTTTGTTTGTTTTGGTTTTGGTTTTTTTTGGCTACTGTTTTTTATCTCCTGGAAATAAGTTGAAGTTTAAGCCACCTTTGGAGCTATTGACAAGGGACCCCTTGACACATAAAGCACATAAAGGCTTTCCCATTTAAAAAAAAAAAAAAAAAAAGATTATTTTGAAGCAAACTTACTTAGTAAACACCTAGAATTAAAAATGAACAGGGCTTGTCTAGGAGATTTTCTTTTCAGAGAGAAATCTTTTTTTTTTTTTTTTCTGAAAGGCACAGATTCACCACCAACAAAAGTATATGAGGTAAATAGAATAAATAGAATAGATTCATGTCTCTCTTGTATTTTTTTTTCTAATAATCCTCAAATTAACCACAGCATCTCTAGTTTTGCTCTGCAAACTCTCACCACGTAGGCACACAAGTACCATTCCACCTTTATTGTCAAAGCTAAATCAGGTTGAAAGGATGGTTCGGTCAGTAGAACACTTCCCTTGCAAGTATAAAGACCTGAGTTGTATCTCCAGACAACACATAAAAATGCTAAGCATGGTGTCCCACACTTATAACCAGGACTGGAAAGGCAGAGACATGTGGATTCCTTGAGCTAGATTTTCAACCTTTCTAGACTAAATTGGTGAGGTTTAAGCCAATAACTGACCCTATTTTAAAGCTTATAAACAGTGTTCCTGAAGATGGCACCTGAGGTTTTTCTCTAGCATCCATGGACACACCACATCACGCACGCACGCACGCACGCACGCACACACACACACACACACACACACACACACACAAAATTTCAAAAGATAAATACAAGACAGCAGTGTACTTCTTTGCAAGAATCTAAAATGGTGAAGGGAGAAACCACAGGAGCAGGAGTTTGAGTGGCTGGAGCTTCCTGAGGCCTCAGGCCTGCACAAGTAAGGAAAAGCCAGTTCTAGCAGACCAGCCCATCAAAACTCTGCCAGCATCCTATTCCCACCTCCACCCACTAGAGGAGCCCACCTTACAGTGCCCTACTCAGAGCCTCCTGAGGACTGGGGACTGCATGCAGGGGAGCCGCTCCCAGTGAACCAGTGGATCCAGAGTCAGCCAGTGTCCTAGTCCTACCTCCAGCCACAGAAGGAGGTAAGCTTGGGACTGTTTCCAGCCTGCTTTCCGAGGCCCAGGTCAGAGCCTCTTGAGGACTGGGGACTGCATACAGGGTAACCTGTTCCAGTGGACTAGCACATCCGGAGTCCTAGTTCTAGTCCTAATGTCATAGTCCTGTCACTACCAACTGGAAGAAAAGAGCCATCAGAGTATAGGACCTGCTTGCACACACAGGAAAAAGTGGGTCCTGTACTCACCAGTAGAGAAAGAGACCCCTACCAGTATGCACTGGAAGAAGGGATGGGAAGAAAACAGTATGACAACACAGTCAACAACAGAAAAATCAATATGACACCCAAGGAGTCTAGGGACTCTACACCAGCAAGAACTGAACATCCCAACACAGATGGAGCAGAAGAGAACAACCCTAAAAGCAACTTCATGAAGATGATAAAGACCCTAAAAGAGGAAATGAGAAAATCCTTTAAAGAAATGGAAGAAAAGACAAACCAAAAAGTTGTAAGAAACTATTCAAACAGTACAATCTGTACAATAAAGGAACTTCCAAAGACATCATCATCCCTGATTTCAACATCTATTATAGCA